TTCCAAGAAGCCCAAAGACGGCCCCAAGATAACTCCGAGTGGCCAAACAGCTCCCCAAGGAGGCCCCGAAGAGGCCAAAATCGCCCCAAAACCTAAGGAAAATCAATGATTTTTGCTTTCTCGCCTTTTCGCTTCCGATGGCCATCCGAGGCCTGGAGATGGTTCCAAGATGGCCCAAGAGGGCCCCAAGAGAGCCCAAAAGAGCCCCAAGACGGCCCCAAGAGCGCCCAAGAGCACTCCAAGAGCGTTCCAAGAGGGGTCCAAGAGGCGATTTTAGGGGCTTCCGAGGGGGGTCGCTAATTAAACCCCCCCTCTTGTTTGATCGATCTCCTCCAAGATGGCCCCAAGAAGCGCCCAGGAAGCCCCAAGAGGTCCCAAGATGGCCCAAAAATGGCCCCAAGAGGCCCCCAAGAGGCCCCCCGGAGGCCCCCAAGAGACCCCCAAGAGGCCCCAAGAGCCCCCCCAGATGCACCCAAGTTGCTCCAAGAGGCCTCGGCGAGAATGCCTAATCATTGATTCTACACAGGTTTTAGCCACATGGAGGCCTCTTGGGGGGGGGCACGGATTAAGATGACTCCAAGAGCGTCTGGGAGAGCCCAAAATGACCTCCAAGATGGCTCAAGATATCCCAAGATGTCTCATAATGGCTTCCTCTGTGTGCTGCCCACTTCTCTGATCGAGGCAATTCCTCTGGGCATCGTTTCTGGATGGGCTGGTGGGGATTCGCGAAGCGACAACAATTATGCACTGGTGCTTCGCGCCATGCACCTTGGTCCTTGAAGTTTGGTATGCAGACGGAATGGCAGGAAGGTCCAGCCGACAATTTAGCGATAACTCCGTGTTGCATGTTCCGGCGTCGCCGCTGTAATACTGTTATTCGTTGTCCTTCCTCCATGCTTCTTTTTCTTCATGTTCGCCAAACCCTGAAGGCTCGGCCAAACGCCCTGCGAGGCCCGGGGGGCCGCTCCGAGGCCCGTTCCGAGGGCCCCAAAGCCCCAGATCCCAGGAGTCCGTCGTTTTTTTTGTTTTTTTTGGGGGGGGGGCCCGCCCGGGCCTGTAAGAATATCGGAAGAGGAATACGCAGTTATCCTCGCTGCACGGTGGGAAGACCACCTGCCCCTCATCAGTGCTCTAGAGAGACCACCTTAAGATAGGAGTTCATGAGTGGCCCCGCCTCGCCGTAAACTACATGGCGAGAACCTGAGGCGACTGCGACCGATTTCTTCTCAAGCTCTGCGGACAAACAAATGAAACGCACGGGTCGAGAAGTGCCACAGCTGACCAGAGACACTTTGACTGAGCTGCCAGTGGGCAAGGGCCCCTACGTATGGGGCCATCGAGTGCGACATTCTCACAGGCCCCTTTTTGACACGATGTCTTCGTCCATGGGGGGGCTGACGACACCGCGCCTGTCTGGGCGCAAGGAGATGAGGTCCCCGCAAAGGTTGAGGGCCTCGCCAGTTCGCAAGCACAAATGAAAGGCGGCGATCACGACTGACGCGAACGCCAGCTCTGTTGCGGCCAAGCCCCGGCCTGGGAGCGCCGTGCACGCGAGCGGAGGCATAGGCGGCGCGCGGCTGGGCACCTCGAGGCGGCCCCAGACACTGAACTGAGGCAGGCGCCAGGCTCCAGGCATCTGCCTCTTCGTCTTGAGAAGGTGCTGGATGCCACTGAGTACGTCGCTGGCCATGCCCTTCGCGGCGCCTTGCGCCGGCAGAAACTCAGTGTACTCTTGAGGGGTCAGGTCCATGTCGTCTCAAACGGCAGGCAGGGGCATGTGGGCAGCGGCGGCGTAGGCAACGAACTGGTGACCTGCTGTGAGGTATCGCGCCGACGTCCTGGCGCCGATTCTAGCATCACCCAACCGTTCTAGGCCAGCTCTGGTGGCGCGTCGGTCTGATGGCCCTGTGCACTTACCCATCTGTCAAGCGAGACGGAGCATCGGCTGGGCTGGGGCGAGCTGGCGAAACCGAACGCTGCCCTCGCGCCTGTGGTCAGCTCCCAAGCCGAGAAGATGCGCACCACCTTCCTGAGCTGCCTGTGACCAGACCGGCGATTGGAAAGCGCACCAGTGTTGACCATGGAGTCGAGACAGAATCGCGGCGCGCGACCGATCGAGCACGCCATCGAATTATCATCAAAACGCCCTGGCATTCCAAGACACTGATGTGCTCTCAATTTTCACAAACTGCACGCCTCGCCTTACGCCGCTGCCACGCGCCTGCATCTTTCTCCTGCCTAGGGAAAACTTCGCCTAGCACTTCGGAGCCTCCGTCAGTCCTGAGGTCGGCTCCGTTGAGGTGGTAGGGCGTCGCCGGCCCCGTGACCAGCCTGCGCGACGCGTCATCATCTCGCCGCTCGACCTGGTCGCTCTTGGCCAGCTCTGCGAGGCGGGCGTCTGCGTGACAAGCCTCGCCAGGCTTGCAGTGGCACAGCAGCCAGCGGCCCGCGAGTTCGCCCAGGCCCTCGAGCGGACGCGGTTGCGGCGGAGCCACGAGGCGCAGAGCGCCGCGGCCTCCTCGCGGGCGCGCCCCTTGGCCGCGCGGAAGGGGTTGCCCCAGGTCGAGCTCGGGGCGCCGAGGCTCTGCGATCCCCGACCGACGTGCGCGGGGCCGCCCAGCAGGTCTAGCTCGTCGAGGTGCCAGGGCTGGAGGGCCTCGCGCCCGCGCCGCAGGGAGGCCAGGCCCCTGGCCCGGAGGCGGCGGCCACCAGCCCAGGCGCGGGCGCTCTCGCGCAGCTCCGCGAGCGAGGGCGCGGCTACGAGCAGCCCTGCAGCCGCCGCCCAGTGACTCGCGAGCCAAGCCACCACCTCGCGGTGGACCTGCGCAGGGCCTCGCACTTGTCGGTCTCCCCCTTGATGCGACGGCGCCGCTCGGCATGCGTCGGGCGGCGCGGCCCTCGGCGAAGCCCGCGAGCTGCTCGCGCACCGAGGCGGGGGGCGGCGCGACCTTGCCGTGCTGGTGCGGCGGCGCCGCGTGGCCAGCCTCGGCCCAGCGCTCCAACTCTGTTTCGCTGCGCTCCGTGATGCCCGCGGTCCGCGGCCTCACCGCGCAGGCGCGGGCAGCGGCTCTCCTCCCTCAGGACCAGGGCAGCGCGCGCCAGCTGGCAGCCACCCCTCCAGAAGCGGACGCTGGCAGTGGAGGCGGACCCGCCAAGCCCGCCGAACGCCCTTCACCAGCTTCGACATCGCGACCTCGGAAGTCGACTCGTGGCTCGGCAGAAGGCCCCACGAGCACTAGTAGAACCTGGGGCGCTTGGCCCAGCTGATGGCACCGGCCTCGATCAAGTCGGGGATCCTCTCAAAGCACCCGATGAGGACCATCGCGTCGAGCTCCATCGTCGACGCGACATTCTCCCCCAGGAAGTCGATGCGAGGCTCGGGCAGCTGCTTCGCGAGGCCGTCAGCGATCCGCTTCAGGTGCTGCACGAGGCCAGCGCGAGCGCCTGCCAGGCCCTGGCGATCGACTTTGAGCGCAGCTGGTGCTTGGAAAGGGAAGCCGCCCATGACCCAGGCCCGCGAGATGCGGCCCCGCCGCCTCAAGCGCTTGGCGAGGTCGCGCGGGCCGGCCGCGCTCGCGTCGCCGAGGTGGACCGTGCTCGGGCAGGCGCGCCTCGCCACGCGGGCGGCAGCGGCGTCGATCTCAAACGAGAGGTGGACCGCCGGGGCGAGGCCCGGGGATCTCGGGGGCGAGCCGACCCCCGCCACTCCCATCGAACAGAGTGATGAGGGCCGTCTCCTCCTCGCAGGCGGGGGGGTGCAAGGCCGCTGGCGCAGGGCGGCAAGCCGCCCCCGCGCGGGGGTGAGCCCCGCGCGGTTGACTACCGCGCCTGCCAGCTCGGAGGCGTCCGAGGCCGCGACGAGGCGGTCGACCTTCAGCCCGAGGTCCGCCGCGCACAGGGCGGAGAGCGCCGAGAAAAGGGGCGGGTCCTCTGCGACGCCCGGGCTGATGCGCCCATGAGCCAGCGCCATGCGTGAGGGCTCCCGCTGGGCGGGCCCGCGCCCTCGCCTGCCTGGGCGAATCGATGGCCTTGCAGGCGCCCCTGCCCAAGCCGCTCGAGAGCCCGACTGGGTAGTTTCACCAGTTTTGGGCGCAGCGGCGCCAGCGCGCTGGGCACAATGTCGCGCTGCTGCGCAGCCCAGCGGCCCAGCAGGATCTGCATGAGCTTCCTGCTCGCGCGGCGCTTGCCCATCACCCAGAACGCGAGGCTGGCGATCTCCGTCAGGTAGCCCTCGGGGGGGCGACGGACGCCCTCGACTCCGTCCACGAGCTCGCCGAGGGTGGTGGCACGCGTGACTCGGTGGATCTCCTTGCCTGTTGGATTCCATCGTGGGTCCGTTACTATAGAGAGGGTCATGAGACAAGCGTTGAGACACATGTTATGCCTATCCGTGCATATGCGCTCTGTGCCGGAATGGTTGGGATGCGCCGCGTCGTCCAGGAGAAAACAAGTCACTCACTAAACAAGGCTGAAACATCACCACGGAAACAAATCCGCTGGCCTCCTTGTGGGACCGCCTGCCTCTAGGACGAGATGGTTGCCCCCTGCACCAGTTGCGGCTTCAAGTCTTCATGCTACAATCCTGCCTTCTGCTTCCCACTCTGGGTTGTTGGAGTCCGCGCGAGGGGGGGAGCCCAAAAGGGTCAGATTTACCACGACCGGGTCGCGTTGCCAAAAATCCAGGGGGGGCGTGCGACACATAAAAATGCATGAGATTCGCGCCCCCGAAACCAGAATCCCTCGTAGATTGCGCCGTAGTCGCGCCCCCGAGGCCACAAACCCTTGTAAATTACACCCTTTGTGCGCCCCCCGAGGCACCAAACCAGCGTGAATTACACCGTATTCGCGTCCATGAAGCGCAAACCCTCGCAAACTACTAAATACTCGCGTCCCCGAAGCCATGAACCGTTGGAAATCACGCCGCTCTCGCTCTGCCGAAGCCAAGGGTGCTGCAAAATGCCCGAAGATGGTTCCAAGACGGCCCCAAAAGGCCCACAGATGCCCCAAAAGCGGTCCAAGAGGCCTCCCGAGAGAGCCTCAAGAGGCCCAAATCGTACATGTTAGAACGGTTTATGGAATATGTTGGCCTTCTCGCATGTTCGGTTTTCCGACGCTCGTATGCAGCTCAAGAAGCTCCCAATACCGCCTCAAAAACAGCCCAAGGCGCCTCCGAGAGGGCCCCAAGACGGCACAATGGCGCTCCAAGATGGCCCAAGAAGCGCTCAAGACAGCCCAAGAGGGCCCCAAAATGGCCCCAAGAGAGGCCCAAGCAGGGGACCACGAACCGAACATGTTGTATCTGTGCCCCGAGAAGCCCCCAGGAGGCCCCTAGAGGCCGCACAGAGGCCCCAAGAGGCCCCCAAGAGGCGCCCAAACCGCCTCCAAGAGGCCCCCGAGAGGCTCCCCACGACACCCCAACACGTATACAGGAGGCCTCAGACCCACAACCGAGGCACGGTGGCAGGATGGGCCGACAGCCACTAGGATCCGCCGCCCCCTGCTTGCAGGGGTGCACGGCGTGCTGGATGATTCAGGTTTTTTTTGGTTTTGGTTCTTTTTTCTAAAAGAACTCCCCAGTGGGCTTCGGCCCGTCCCGCCGGCATGCGTCTGTCAATGCCCAAAAACGGCCGTTTCGCTCGGGACATCCTCAAAAAATCGCGAAGATGGCCCAAGATGGCCTCCAAGTCCGCCCGAGATGGTCCAAGACGGCCTCCAAAACGGCCCAAGAGAGTCCAAGACGGCCCAAGACGGCCCAAGAGGCCCCCCAGAGGCCTCCCAGACGGCCCAAGAGGCCTCCAAGAGGTCCTCCAGGAGAGTCCGCAGAGGCCAAAATCATTGATTTTCCCTTGGTTTTTGAAGGATTTTGGCATTTGCGCCTTTTCGGCTCTCCGACGGCTCAAGACGGCCCAAGAAGCCCCCAAGATCGCCCAAGAGGCCCCCAAGAGAGCCCCCTGATGGCCCAAGTGGCCTCCAAGATGGCCCCTAGAGGGCCCCAAGAGGGCCCAAGAGGCCTCCAACACGCCCAAGATGGCCTCCAAGACGCCCAAGATGGCCTCCAAGACGGCCCTGGAGCATTCCAAGCGGGCCCCAAGTCGGCCCATAGAGGCCCCCCCAAACGGCTTCCGACGGCTTCAGACGTGCCAGGAACCCACCAAGATGGCCGAAGTTGGCTCGAAGCTGGCCCGAGACGGCCCAAAAAGCCCCAAAGATCGCCCAAAGCTTGCCCAAGAGGCCTCCAAGACGGCCAAGATGACCTTCAAGATGCCCACGTGTTCCCCGAAGGCTTTCCAAACCGATTCGGGGAACACGTGGTCCGATAGCTTGGCAGGTCTGGCCTCAACGTTCGGCCACATAGGCGCTTCCAAAAAGGCAGGGGGCGGCGGTGATTCGCCGTAGGCGTCTTCGATCCGCCGCCCCCTGCTTGCAGGGGTGCACGGCGTGCTGGATGTTTCAGGTTTTGGTTTTGGTTCTTTTTCTAAAAGAACTCCCCAGTGGGCTTCGGCCCGTCCCGCCGGCCACCCGTAATTTTCCCAAAATCCGTCTGTCAATGCCTTTGTTGCCCCAACTTGGCCCAAGATGGCCTCCAAGACGGCCAAGATGGCCCAAGATGGCCTCCAAGATGCCTCCCAGACGGCCAAGATGGCCTCCAAGACGGGTAAGATGGCCCAAGATGCCTCCAAGACGGCCCCAGATGCCCTCCAAGACGGCCAAGATGGCCCCAAGATGGCCCAAGAGGCCTCCAAGACGTTCTCCAGGAGAGCCCGAAGAGGCCAAAATCATTGGTTGTCCTTAGGTTTTTGAAGGTTTTTTACGTTTTCTTCGGCCCCCAAGATCGCCCAAGAGGCCTCCAAGAAGGCCCTATGACGGCCCAAGGGCCCCCCAAGACGGCCCCAAGAGCGCCCCAAGACGGCCCAAGAGGCCTCCAAGACGCCCAACATGGCCTCCAAGACGGCCCTGAAGCGCCCCAAGAGGGCCCCAAGACGGCCCAGAGAGGCCCCCAAGACGGCTCCAGACGGCGTCAGACGGACCAGGAACGCCCTAAGACGGCCAAAGAGACCCCCAGGAAGCCCCCAAAGGCCCCAAGAGGCCCAAGGAGGCCCCCAAGATGCCTCCAAGAGGCCTCGAAGAGGCCCCCAAGAAGCCCCCAACAGACCCCAAGGGTGCCCCAAGAGACTCCTAACAACCCTCATCCTCCTACTCTATTTCTTCCTCTTCCTCTTCCTGTTCATAATCATTCTCTCCCATGTGTTCCCCGAAAGCTTTCCAAACCGACTCGGGGAACTCATGGTCCGATAGCTTGGCCAAGCTCTAGTCCAACTTTCGGCCACATCGGCGTTTCCAAAAAGGCTGGGGGCGGGGTGATTCGCCGTAGGCGTCTTCGATCCGCCGCCCCCTTGGTCTGCCACAGGGGTGCACGGCGTGTGGAGGTTTGGGTTTTGGTTTGGTTCTTTTTCTAAAAGAACTCCCCAGTGGGCTTCGGCCCGTCCCGCCGGCCACCCGGCAAGTTTCCGGAAAATCCATCTGTCAATGCCTTTGTTGCCCCAACTTGGCCCAAGATGGCCTCCAAGACGGCCAAGATGGCCCAAGATGGCCTCCAAGATGCTTCCAAGACGGCCAAGATGGCCTCCAAGACGGGTAAGCTGGCTCCAAGATGCACCCAAGACGGCCCAAGATGGCCTCAAGATGGTCTAAGACGGCCCAAAAGGCCCGCAAAAGGCCTCCAAGACGGCCCAAGAGCCCTCCAAGACGCCCTCCAGGAAGGCCCGAATAGGTTAAAATCATTGATTTTCCTTAGGTTTTTGAAGGATTTTGGCATGTTCTTCTTTTCAGCTCTCCGACGGCCCCAGACGGCCCATGAGGTCCCCAACATCGCCCCAACAGCACCCAAGAGGCCTCCAAGATGGCCCCATGACGGCCCAAGAGGCCCCCAAGAAGGCCCCAAGAGGGCCTCAAGACGGCCCAAGAGGCCTCCAAGACGCCCAAGATGGCCTCCAAGACGGCCAAGATGGCCCAAGATGGCCTCCAAGACGGCCAAGATGGCCTCCAAGACGGGTAAGATGGCTCCAAGATGCACCCAAGACGGTCCAAGATGGCCTCAAGATGGTCTACGACGGCCCAAAAGGCCAGCAAAAGGTTTCCAAGACGGCCCAAGAGCCCTCCAAGACGCCCTCCAGGAAGGCCCGAATAGGTTAAAATCATTGATTTTCCTAAGGTTTTTAAGGATTTTGGCATGTTCTTCTTTTCAGCTCTCCGACGGCCCCAGACGGCCCATGAGGTCCCCAACATCGCCCCAACAGCACCCAAGAGGCCTCCAAGATGGCCCCATGACGGCCCAAGAGGCCCCCAAGAAGGCCCCAAGAGGGCCTCAAGACGGCCCAAGAGGCGTCCAAGACGCCCAAGATGGCCTCCAAGACGGCCAAGATGGCCCAAGATGGCCTCCAAGATGCCTCCAAGACGGCCAAGATGGCCTCCAAGACGGGTAAGATGGCTCCAAGATGCACCCAAGACGGCCCAAGATGGCCTCAAGATAGTCTAAGACGGCCCAAAAGGCCCGCAAAAGGCCTCCAAGACGGCCCAAGAGCCCTCCAAGACGCCCTCCAGGAAGGCCCGAACCCTCCCCGAATATGTTTAAAATCATTT